TAAACCATGGATGGAAAAAGTATTGAACCCCTGAGTTAACAGATTTTGATTTCAAATAACGTGACAATATACTTATACAGTAGAACCTCAGAGTTACGAACACTAGAGTTACGAACTCATCAGTCAACCACACACTTCATTTAGAACTGAAATGACACAATCAGGCAGCAGCAAGGACCAGAAAAAAAGAAAAAGAAAAAAAAACAAATACTACACAGTACTGTGTTAAACGTAAATTACTAAAAAAATAAAGGGAAAGTAGCATTTTTCTTCTGCATAGTAAAGTTTCAAAGCTGTATTAAGACAATGTTCAGTTGTAAACTTTTGAAAGAACAACCATAAAGTTTTGTTCAGAGTTACAACCAACCTCCATTTCCAAGTTGTTCATAAGTCTGAGGTTCTACTATAACACAATTTTATGTTGTGTCTCTGCTATTGTTACCCCTTCTATTGTGCTATTTCTAACTTTCTGGGCCAAAGGTTCCAATGCAAAGGGCAGAGGGGAAATCCCTGTCTTGGTCCTCAAAGTATCTTAAACCTCTGAACTTGCTACCATTTATTCTGACTAGCTTGGGTTGTATGTAGGTCTGTGCTCATATCAAAAGTTAGAACCCATGCATGACAATGTTGTTTTTTGTAATTAGCCCTGATTAACAATCTAATCTTGTGTTGCTATTTGCTGGTTGATTATTTTTTTAACTGCTAAATCACTTTAGATGAGCTTTAAAATTAGTCAAAGTTGTTCTTAGATTTGTGCAATCTTGATTCTATCAAGAAATTCAGACAAAAACAAAAGGTTACTAAGATTTGAAATTTATTTGTCAATAAAAAGTGCATAGTACAAGCCCTTTATCCCAGTTCCAAATACTCAGTAGAAGATTAATAGTAAACCTCAAATGGCACAGACATTATTTTTGTTTGGCATGATTCAGACATTTTAAACCACCAATTTACATCAGGTACATCACATTATCATTTTTCATCTTTCGGTAACAAACATTACATGGCTAAGTGATCTGCAGACACTATATGAACACACATGATTTTTCATTTCAGAATATAATTGTGTTAAGCAGATGCTAAAATACTATTATTTTAACGAAGGTATAAACGAAGGTATAAACAAACTCTCTTCTTTATTTCTTTAATTTCTACAACTTGTCTCTTATTAGCTGAGCCTCAAACCTTTAATATAAAATTGATCATGGTCTTAAACTTTACATCCCACTAATCTCTTCCAAGGGGTTCCTCTTAAAATTTACAGTGTTCAGTTTTGTAATCATGATGCAGTTATTTCATCACAAATTATTATTATGGGCTAGATTCTGCCACCCTTATTAATGATGTTGCAGTTAGAACATTCTCTGACAATAGTCAAACTAATTACAATGGAACTACTTGTTGAGTAAAATAACATGAATAAAAGTGGCAAAATACAGGCTTATAATAGCTACTTTTACTTTAAGCAGTAATATTGGTCTGAAGTTTACATACTGGAGAGAATATCTCAGAATTTAAAAGGGATACATGTTGGCATGAGATAGTGGCCTGGCTACGTAGCAAAACATTTTGCTATACAATATTTCCACTGCTTCTCTTTCACATAGAAAATTTAAAATAGAAATTTACATAAGGAAAATACATATGTATAAAACCATTTGGACAACATTTTGACTAGCAAAATTTTAAGAAAAAAAAACTTGATTCAACACAGAACACAATTAAAAATTTCTCAGATTACAACGTGCAAACATCCATGACTATATATTGGCCAAAATTTCAAAGCAGGGTGCACAAAGCAAGCCTTCTATATACATATTAGGGCATCTAAATAGAAGTGGTCTGATCTTCAGAGGTGCTGAGTACCTGCAAGTCATACTGACTTCAACAGGAGCAGGGTTTGCTCAGTACCTCTGAAATGAAGCCCCTTCCAGTTAGGTGCTTACATATGGAGATAGGCTTCTAACTGAATGCACCCAAGTTTGAAGACTTTTGGCCATTGACAGAGGTGTCCCTAGGGTATGGTGAATTGGGGCGACCGCTCTGGGCCCCGCACTTTGGGAGGCCCCACAGGCCAGCGTGATTGGCCAGCGCAGTCGGTCCCGGAAGTGACGGGTTGGTCCTGGAAGTGACGGATTTGTCATTTCCGCCCTGGGCTCCACATACCCCTCGGGACGACCCTGGCCACTGATTCTTAGGGGGGACACAGGTACGGTAGGCAATGTAAGTATTTTTTGTTGGTTCCATAAAAAGATACCACATTACCTACACTGTTCAAAATGTTATTCCAAACAAAGATGTACTAGGTAAAAACTAGCAGTTGGATAGCGTATCCCAGTAATGTCCTTACAGTGTTTGTGGCCTATACTGCCATCAGTCATATTGGGACAAATTCTCTCGATTACACTGTTGCAATCCCACTGTCTTCAGTAAGGTTGCATCAGGCTAACAGACAATTTGGCCCAATATTATTATTTTACTAATGCTCCCTATCTATAGGTGCTGTATTACACAGCATACTGCTACAGAGAAGCTCAGTGGTGCAGTTATGTACATCGAATTATAAAAGCAATTTTTCAGATCTGTACTGTATGTTTACAAGACAATTTGGCTGACCTGCCATTTACCCTGAGGAGGACAACCCTATCTCTGATAACAAAGGGATCCAACATGGTATTCTTCCAGGGCCCAGTTATGCAAATCTTTACTCATGTGAGTACCTCCTATGGCTACTTTCAAAAGTAAGCAGTTCTCATGTGAGTAAAAGCTTGCAGGATCAGGCCATTAATTCCCTGCATATTTGTTCTCCTTACTTTTGTGGAAAGTACCTCCATAGCCATCTGGTCACACAAAACTGTCCTTTACATTATTCTCATTAATTTCTCAAATTGATAAGAAAAATATAGAGTGTTACTTTTCTGTACATCTTTAAAATGTTCTTAAATTATTTAATGTATGTTTAAAAAAAAGTCACTCTCACTAGTTCAAACGGAAGATGCATATGCGCGCACACACACACACACACACACACACACACACACAAACATTAAAGGGAAAATATATGCCGTATATCTTCACCTGCAATTTCTGTTTTGAACAAACCAACAACAAACAGATAAGAATCAAAAGTAATATATATATTACTTTTACTTATATATTTACAATATACAAGTAAAAACCAAATTGTAAGTAAGTGACAATTTTCTGAAGTTAATGACTGGTTAATAACATTTTGATCTTGTTACGTGTTGCAGCAAAAAAATTAAGATATTGATTATTATAAGATTATACTCAGGACAGAAAATTATAATGGATACTTGTCACTAGATTTTTCTTTTTGTAAAGTTTGTAAACAATTCTCTTTTAGAATTTAGTAGCCCAAGTTTTAGTTGTCTTTAAAAATATACTGAATCAGACAGCTCATTTATTGGTGAATGTATTTAATTTCATTTTGGTGATAATAATCTTTTGTGTAAATTCCTTACACATCAGACAAGTTTTTGATGGTGATAATTCTCAGACACATACTCATGCACACACACATAGATGTACATTCATTACAGCAGATGATCCATGCTTTTGCAACAGCCTAAAAACTAGGTTAGCGGTCCAAAGAGTTAAAGCTGCTCTGAACAGCAAGGTAAAGGTAAAGTAATTTCACTTTTTCTACCTAAAACTCAAGCTAATGTTTGCAACTAAGTTTCCAAAATATGTAGGGGAAAAAAGAGAATTAATCTGAAAAATAACTTTTAATGACTATAAATGCACAAGGATTTAAATTTTCCTTCAATTATGCCAGAGACCACTGCAAAGAAATTATGTATTGTAACCATTGTAACAAAAAGAGAATGAGTGGAATGTCCACAGTAAAACAACAACCAAAACCCCACCCCCTGCAGCTCCTTATTGTTTATTCAAATATCACTTACTAGGAATGGTAATATATAAAGCAAGAATTAATTTAAAAGTGAAATAGCTACTAGCTGTTCCATACCAAAATAATATCATCCTGCTTTATGACAGGTTTCAGAGTAGCAGCCGTGTTAGTCTGTATCCGCAAAAAGAACAGGAGTACTTGTGGCACCTTAGAGACTAACAAATTTATTTGAGCATAAGCTTTCCGATGAAGTAGGCTGTAGCCATTGCTGGCACATGATGGCATATATCACATTGGTAGATGTGCAGGTGAACGAGCCCCTGATGGTATGGCTGATGTGATTAGGCCCTATGATGGTGTCACTTGAATAGATATGTGGACAGAGTTGGCATCGGGCTTTGTTACAAGGATAGGTTCCTGGGTCAGTGTTTTTGTTCAGTGATGTGTGGTTGCTGGTGAGTATTTGCTTTAGGTTGGGGGGTTGTCTGTAAGCGAGGACAGGTCTGTCTCCCAAGATCTGTGAGAGTAAAGGATCATCTTTCAGGATAGGTTGTAGATCTCTGATGATGTGATATATGCCATCATGTGCCAGCAATGCCCCTCTGCCATGTACATTGGCCAAACCGGACAGTCTCTACGCAAAAGAATTAATGGACACAAATCTGACATCAGGAATCATAATACTCAAAAACCAGTGGGAGAACACTTTAACCTGTCTGGCCATTCTATGACAGACCTGCGGGTGGTTATCTTAAAACAGAAAAACTTCAAAAACAGACTCCAACGAGAGACTGCTGAGCTGGAATTGATATGCAAACTAGACACAATCAACTCAGGGTTAAATAGGGACTGGGAATGGCTGAGCCATTACAAACATTGAATCTATCTCCCCTTGTAAGTATTCTCACACTTGCTTCTTAACAAACTGTCTGTACTGAGCGATCTTGATTATCACTTCAAAAGTTTTTTTTTTTCTCTTACTTAATTGGCCTCTCAGAGTTGGTAAGACAACTCCCACCTGTTCATGCTCTCTGTATGTGTGTATATATATCTCCTCAATATATGTTTCACTCTATATGCATCCGAAGAAGTGGGTTGTAGCCCACGGAAGCTTATGCTCTAATAAATTTGTTAGTCTCTAAGGTGCCACAAGTACTCCTGTTCTTCATCCTGCTTTATGTAAATGCAAAAGGAAAATAGTATCGAATGGGATTTAGTACTCTGATCACTTGCGTTCATTTGGTCGTGCAAGGTTTTAGCTGTCGAGCATTTCCAGAATTACAAGGTCTAATCCACTGGTGGGGCTGGTGGTTCTTGTCCCTGGTTGTACAAAAGGAAAAAAAATGCACTGATTTAGAAATTCTAGTCTACCAAGCATGACTTATAAAAAGAATGAATACAAAGGAGATACATGCTTCCTGTTTTTTAAATCCTCCTCCAATATTCAAAGTAAATAACAAACAGACGCAATTCTGTTTTTCCCTTCAGCATGGATTTTGCCAACCCCCAACTACAGTCCCAAAGGTCCCATTTCTACTCTTATTTGTTTGCTTACATTCCTCCCACATTGACAGTGTGCTGGGATCACTGATCTTCTCGCAGGTTGAAGACAACTGGATGGATGCAGCTTCAACTGAAGGAGAGTTATTTGAGTATGTAGGAATTTAGGCCTACATTAGGCCTGAGTGAACTATGGTTTTAAATTGAGTTTGGATTTTAGCATGAGTGATAGGTGTAAAGCATGTGACCAGAAAGAATTAGGGTTGCCAATTTTGGTTGGACATATTCCTGGAGGTTTCATCACAACATAATCTTTCATTCCTGGAAACTCCAGGGCTATCATGGAGGGTTGGCAACCCTAGAAGGAATAAGATAATGAAAAAGGAGGATTGTTTGTATAAAACTTGTAGTGACCTTTAAAATACCAGCGTATCTTATTTAAGGTTTGGGTTGAGATAACAGAAATCAAGAAAATATAGCTAATTAGATACCAGGTGCAGTAAATAATTGGTCTTTTTCATTTGTTATAAAACAATGCTTAGTTTAGTGGTTAGAAAGAAATATGGCAAAATGACATAAGAAAACCTTGAAGAAACAGGCCCAATCACTAATCTTGTCTTGACCAGAGCAGAGGACAGGGTTCAGACCTAAGCTGTTTCATCTGACCTGAGTCAAGTTCTGATAATCAGCAATGAGATCACTTGTTTGTTACAGTGTATAAAAAAAGCAAAGTTTTCCAGGGGTTCTTTGTCAGAGCTTTCCCTGACCCCCTGGAGCCATGCTATGATGGGAAGGTGTCTCCCAGGACTGAACCTGTTGTGAGTATTCAGCCAACGCTTATAACTGTAATTGTTGCTAGGGCATAGAATATCAGAGCATATATGCTTATACTGATATTTTGGATGCAACCAATGCCTAATGGCCTTTGGACCAATAAGTGCTTCTGTGGAAACTGAGTCATGATAAACATAAAATTACTAGGAAAATGATTTCCAACAGAATCCAGCAGTGTTGTCGTCACAGCACACTCTATCCCACTTGTGCTCTTCTGTACAGCAGACTCCAAGGGTGGCCTCAGTAAGTCTATGTTCAGTTTGGTTTTGTTTTGGAAGTGGAGTCCTACTCTGATGGGTGACTTTGTGATATTCCATATGTAAGGATCTAGGAATTAGAACCTGGGTCTGCAGAGCCTGGGACATCTGATATTCCCACAGTGCCCATGCAAAGCTATAGCCAGGAGCACTATGGAGAGTAGGCACTGCAGGAAGCACCATCCAAGAGACCCAGAGTGACAGTACCCTGCAGCCCTCTGATTGGCTAAGTGTCCTATTTAACCCCAGGAGTTGCCCAAGAAAGTTGTTTGGGTAACCACACAGAGTTTGGCCTGTGGCAATGCTAGACTTTGCTTGATCTCTGGCCTCTGACTCCAGCTTGACCCTGACTCTTGCTTATGGAACCTGGCCCTTGTGAGTCCTCCAACTCCTGCCTGGTGACTACTGGCCCTGATGGGGAGAACTCACCCCACCTATGACCGTTAGGTCAGACCATCTATGCCCTGGTCCTTTACACCATGTTTATCATCTCAACTATTTCCACATCATATGCGCTCAGTGTAAAGTTAAAAAAAATGGGGGTGGGGGGTGTTAATCACCATCCTAAAAACACATCTCAGTTCTTGCCATCTTGATAAAGATTCTGCAGATCAAATTGAGGCCCTTGGTTACTCCTGTGCATCTTGTTACTCAAGTGCATCTGGTGGGTATTACTGATCAGAACATAACACTTCAGTTTATGGTTCACCACAAGGAATAGAATCCAGCTCAATCTAAGGCAGAGTGATTTAGCTGTGCTGGCCTGCAGGACTCAGAGAAGTATAATCAGTGAAAACTTACATTATGTCTACACTGCACATTTCACAACAGTGTGGCTGTGCCACTGCAGCTGCGTCTTTGTAAGGTGCACTGTGTAGCTGCTCTTTATCACTAGGAGAGCTCTCCTGGTGAAAAAATAAAATCATCCCCAATGAGGGGTGGTAGCTTTTTCACCAGGAGCATGGTTCCCACTGACAAAGCGCTGTCCACACCGGTGCTTTTCGTCGTTAAAACTTTTGTCGTTCAGGAGAGTGTTTGTTCACACCCCTGAGTGACAAAAGTTTTAACGACAAAAGTGTCAGTGTAGACATAGCCTTAGTTTTGTCAATAAAATAGGCAGAGGGAGCAGATCTATTCACTGAAAAGATGCTGTTTTTACAGTTACTTTTCAGAATATAACCACACTTTAAACAAAAGACTTAATTATTTCTAGTCTGAGAGACTTTTGCAGAAGGGAACATATACATTTTAATATTAATGTGGTACCAAAAAATAGCAGTAGAAAGCATAGGAAAACAGTTTTGGGGAAAAACTAATGAATATAATGTAGTGTACTTTTAAATGTTCCTAAATCTAGATATTTTATTTAGATTCTTTAGGCAGATTGCTTCAAGACACAGACATACTTACATTATGTGGACTGGCTGGTTTTCCAGCCATGTTGGATCCTCTTAGATTAGTTGGTCTCAGCAAAAACAAGACAAGAGCGATAACCACCCAGGCCATCATTATCATGGCAATACTGATGCCGTTATCACCAGAGGAATTTGGTCCTGGCACTACAGACAGAGAAAACTAAATTATAAAAGCGTGTGGGAGCAGAGTCCTTTTATCAGCATGAAAGTGTAAACAACACAAGTATCAGACCAAACTACAACAGTTTTGGTTCACAGCTGTGATTATTCTGTCTGCTTGGCTTTAAGATTCACAATTTTTTGTAAGGTTGACAAAAAAGTGCCAATTTCCTAAAGCTGCAATTAAATTCCCTCTTAATGGGTTGCAGATAAAAAGAGCACACTATGTTACTGTGGGCAGAGTATACAAAGACAAGGTTCAGAATGATTTACAACTGATATCAGTGCAAAACAACAACATAATATTATACATATATCAATATAAGTGAAATATTCCACACTTGTAGGGGGAATGGTGTATGATTTTCATAGCCCATTTTTATAGGCCATTCACGCTGCAAACCCCAATGCACCATGCAGCGTTGTTAGCCTCCACTTGCTCTTAAGCAATCTTGTGTATGTAGGAACAAGGAAGGCGTCTAGTTCTTTGTGTAACCCACAGTAGATGAGCATGAGTCTTTGTTCCCCTCTACTGGCTGATCTACATAGGTGGAGGAGTCTACTACAACTGCTGCCTAATAAAGCTAGTGGGAAAAGCTTGCTTTTAACACTGAAGGTCCAGGTTCAAACCCTGCTATCACAGCCCAAGCACAGAGGATCGTTATACCTACTTGCGAAAAGAAGTTTGCAAACCACTCAGAATAAATTGTTTACTGTTAATTTAGCTCTCCAATTGTTTCCAAGGAGACTGATGTTTCTAAATTTGATGGAAATTCAAAATTATGTATTGCAAAGATTGTGCAAACAGATGTCTGTCTTGGCATTAGTCATGAGCTTGGTGTGGCAAAGATTTCTCATTTAAGTATTTGACTCAATATGTGAGCTGTGTGGTGGTCGCTGAGATCATGTTCCCTAACAGAGTGGCATAACTACTATAAACTACTTCCCTTTCTTCCTAAAACCAAAATATTGGTGTGTCAGGGTGCAGGAGGTCCTTAATTTCTGTGAAGAAGAGTGCTGCAGGAGGCAGAGGCAGGGACTGATAAAAAAGGGAAGCCAATATACTGACATTTACAACAAAATAACAAATGGAACTACAGCATATTTCCACAAAATTGAGAAATTCCCCTGAATGGAGTTGTCTGGTTGTACTACCAGGGAGAAATAAGTATTTAAAGTCTCCCAAATATCTGATTATTTGCATATTTAAAATATGCAGCCTTTTTCCTGAGATCAGTGTTGCCAGGTTTAGCACATTAGCTGCACATTTCTGCTACAAGTAGTAGTGAAATGCTAGTATTTAAAATTACCTTAATTAAGCATTTGATTTATCATCCCATCACGCTGAATTCCTTCTCTTTCAGGCTCATAATGTATCTTTTGACTCCAACAGCAAAATTGTCATTGACTTTACGTGGTGTAGTTTGTGTATTACTCATCAGAAGGTAACTAATGCAATGCTATTGGGAGGTAATCTTCAGAACAAGAAAAGCTAGATGATTTTATTTATGAAAGTTTAGATTTTGTACAAAACCTCAAAGTCTGGGGAAAATCCACAGAGAGAACCAGGGCCTTGAAATTTGCAGGTTTTTAGCAGCCACTCATTTCTATTATCTTTGACAATTACATATAGAGTCTTTCACCTCTACCATGCTGGTTTAAATCTGGCCTATGTCAATGTTCGCTGGAAGTTACCACCAGTAATAGCTGTTTGATGATCTATTTGCAGTGAGTGGGGTGGGGTCAGTCAAGTTCCTTGAGCACAAGTTTTCACAATGGAAAACTATTATCACTGTTGTCCCCTTTAATGGCATTTTCAAGAGAGCCCAAGGGCTCAGTGGGCACAGAGAACTATTCCCTCATCCACGAAGGTGATATCTACATAACAGAGTTAAGGCAAGCTAATCGGCTATGGTGGGGAAGCTTGCAGGACTGCTGCCCACAACACAGCTCTTCTGTAATACAAGACTTCATGATCCAGAGCCATCGATCTGATATCCTTCACGTACATAAAATTCACTCAAAAATATAACAGAAAAATTGGGATGAATTATGAAAAATCAGACCTCAGCAGCACTTTCTCAGACCCAATGAGAGAACTCTTTTGATTTTATGAACTAAAGGAATTGCCATTAAACTCCTGCTTTTCAAATGTTTGAAATGGAGACATCTCAAATCTGGAAAAGCTGCTAACATAAACAGGTTCAACTATAAATGCCAATTACAAAAAAACATTCTAATGAGAGTTTGAAGGTCAGCCACTCTGGGTATGGGTCAGAAGGAGATCTAGCAGGTGCAAAATGAGAACATATAGTAACAGGAAATGTAACTTTCAGTTTGCTAGTTATGTCATAAAATACTGATTCAGAACAGCATGTATAATTGTGCAGGCAAGCGTTCAGCTTGCAGTCTTGTTCTGTACAAGTGAAACAACATTAATCAGCTTGGTGCATCAATATTTGAAACTTTGGGAGGCCTTTATACATCACATCCCCATCACATAATACCTAACCCTGCCTCAGAACAGACGTGTAGACTAGTTGACCTTTGAGGTCCCTCTAGGGCTTCTGATTTTAGGTTTTAACCAATGAACACCAACAAAACATTCCTGATACTAAAAAAATAAAAATAAAAAAACTCTGGTGTATATCCTATTACCAGAAAAGAACTGGAAATGGTTACTTGTACCTAAGGGTTTGTCTACACAAAGAAGAAGTAGTGTGGACTACAGGGGTGTGATTTTTAAAGTGTACTAATGCATTGCACATTGATTGATCCATGCAGATCCTGTTGGTGTGCACTAAAGGTTCCCTAGTGTGCTTTAACACAGTGGTTCTCAACCAAGGATATGCATATACCCCTGGGAGTACGCAGATGTCTTCCACGGGGTACATCAACTCATCTAGGTATTTGCCTAGTTTTACAACAGGCTACATGAAAAGCACTAGCAAAGTCAGTACAAACTAAAATTTCATACAGACAATGACTTGTTTATACTGCTCTATATACTATACACTGAAACGTAAATACAATATTTATATTCCAATTGATTTATTTTATAATTATATGGTAAAAATGAGAAAGTAAGCAATTTTTCAGTAATAGTGTGCTGTGACACTTTTGTATTTTTATGTCTGATTTTGTAAGCAAATAGTCTGTAAGTGAGATAAAACTTGGGATACGCAAGACAAGTCAGACTCCTGAAAGGGGTACAGTAGTCTGGAAAGGTTGAGAGCCGCCACTGCTTTAATGTAGTGCTTTTGAAACAGTACTGTGTTAAAGCGCAGTAGGGAATATTACAGAGAGATTAGATTACTCATTACAAGAGTGTATACTGTAATGTATATACATTAACAAGTCATCAAAACACGTAAGGACAAGCTTAACTTTGAGCACATGCTTAAGACCACCCCTGTTCATAAAAGTTCAGCAAGTACTTAAATGCTTTGCTAACTTGGGTCCTAAAGTCACATATCACTTGAGGGAGCACTGGCTACCCTAATGCTATGTTCAGCAGAAACTCAACTGACTAGCCAGTTTCACAAACTTCAATTGTCAAAAACCCAGTTGTGTTAGCAATGCCATGTTAATGTATTTTGACTGTATTCACGTTCTTTTTATTCCCATTGAGTAAATTTCACTCAGGTACAGAGGGGCGGCATAAGGAGACCCAATTACATCCCATGATACAGTTAAGACATGCCTTGGTCTTGCAGAGCAGACAGAGAACAAGCCCTATTTTAGTTGTGTCCCTAAATCAGGTTATAGCCTTGGTGTTGCAGGACTAGAGAACATGCAGGGTACATGGTAAAAACAGTTCGGTCCTGTGTACACTGCAAGGTCAACTCATAGTTTAAGTGTGCTGGGAAATTACTATGTGTAACTGGTTCCCTCATGTGTAAATGGCCCATGTTGGATGGCCAAAGATGATTCAAAGTCTTTAGAATTTAAGTTATAATACTTCAGAGTTGGGATTGATTCAAAATGAGAAGGTTAAGTGTGCTATATTAGAACTTTTCAACTGACCTAATAATCTATTAATCCTACCTATATCTGCTCTATCCCAGAAAGATTTTGTTTAATTTAATAGGAGTTCTCACCCATGTGAAGGATCTGAATTATACCCTTAAAGTTCATCCATGAATCACAAGAGACTTTACATCAGTTCTGATCTGCATTTACCATACTAAAATTGTAGACTACCTTTCTGAGTCATTGTACTGACTTGCAACATTAACAGTCACAGATGACTACTCCTTAAATATTGCCTGCTTTGTTTCCAGTTAGTCTGATAAACTTTGAAATAAATTAGTGTTATTCATCTTGTGCTCATTTGTAAGAGTCAAGGGAGTCCAACCTACTGCACTACCATCTGCCAGCTCCCTCTTCTCTCCCCCCTTAGTTCTCTGATCCTCCCTCTTTTTCTGTTCTTTCCTCCCCTCCAGTTCTCCCTATGGTCTTTGATTTCCCTTCTCCTCCCCCTCACTAATCTTCAGATTTGCAGGGATGTGCCCTGCCTTCTCAGGTTAGCCTCCTATAGAACACATCTCTTTCTAGTCTCTCCTGCCTCTGTGGCCATGATCAAGAAATGGTAATTTATTAACCACCGGAATAATTTCCCAAGGGTCATGGTGTATTCTACATCCCTGGCAATTTTAAAATCAAGATTGGATGTTTTTCTAAAAGATATGAGCTAGGAATTATTTTGGGGAGGTTCTATGGTCTGTGTTATACCGGAAGCGAGACTAAATAATCAAAATGGTCTGTTCTGACCTTAGAATCTACGAAAAAATTAGGCCTTGTCTACACTACCAAGTTTTGTCACAAAACTGATGTTGACACTCAAAAATCGGCATAATAAAAATCAGAATGTCATGTTCACATTTGCTCCCTCTGTCAGCAGAGTGCATCCACAGTTGGAGCACTATCACTGACAGTAAGTATTTTCACACTTGCTTCTTATCAAACTGTCTGTACTGAGCCAT